GCTGTCATTTATAACACATCGTGTTTGAATTGTAAATGTATTCAATATATAAAGCAAGGGCAATATTACAATAGCGATATCAATAACTTACTTGATTGTCTTGACATGAAAACGCGACCTACATAATACGTCTATATAGAGCTAAAGTTTCAATATGAGTCGATAATAACGGTCGCTACCAAATAGGGATAAAGTTAGCAGACTAAACTCTGATAACATCGCAGCGACTGTGTAAGAAGCAAATTATTATGATCGGAGCTTTCTATAATATCATCTTCAATACGGACAGTTGAAAATCTTGGTTTAATCACATAATTTGAGGGAAATTGAAATTCTAACTGTTTGTATGATGAGTTTTATATATCCCTTACTTGAGGAATGATTTATTCCCAATACAAACTTCCAATAACTTAACTTGACATGACCCGGGACTCCAACCTAGAACCTCCGGGTGTGCAGCCGTACATGCTAGCCACTGCACCACCGAGGCAGTTACGATATATAATAAGTATCTATTTTTCTAAAGATGGTATTACATATTTTTATTTACAAGAAGATGACAGGCGAAATCCAAGACAACTTCAAGCGGCTAACGGCTTTCGAGATGCCCCAAACCTTTTAAAACCCGGACAAGAGCAGCCAGTAAAACAAGTACCTACAATTGGTTAGTTAAGAAAACAGTAAAATAGCCTTGATTATGTTAATAAATCTATAAAATAAATTATCACCATCTTTACAAAATTTAGAAGAGAATATAATTAATTTATATTCAACCTGATTTCATTTAAATATTATAATAATAATCGAACGAATATCATATGTTCATGAATAAACAATGTGTTTTAAAATGTTTCCTATTCAGTATAGAAACTAGATAGGTAATTAAAGCTCTAATAAATTAAATATTGTGTACAAACTTTTATAGAAAAACGCTATTTGCCAAAGTAAGTCGCTTCACGCTGGTGTTAGATAAAATACGACGAAATCATCGTATAAAAAAAGCTGCATTCTTGACATTAATCATTTAGTTTTTTTCACCGTCATCATAGCGAATGCCTTTGCCTCTATCGCATTCATAAAAGTAATCAGCTATTTAATCCTAATATTACAAATGTGAAAGTAACACTGTCTGTCAGTCTGTTTTGAACCTTTTCACTTGAGATTTGACAAGGACGTAGATTGAATGGAGATGAACATAGACTATCATTAATATCTGAGTCGAGCTGCGGTACTTTCCCTACGGTTAAAAATAATATGCCATATATACATATTTTATAACGTACGTTATTTTTTAAGTACTAAATTGTAACACATAAAAAAACGTGTGTGTGTACTTATTTACGCACGAAAGAAGTTATACTATTTTGGGGTAACAGAACAAAAATAGCTAAATATTTCATCCCGTATGTCACAACTCTGTTTGTAAAAGGAATGCAGCTACTCGTAACTTCATCATGTCGCTATTTTAACCCCCGACCCAAGAGGGGTGTTATAAGTTTGATGTCGATGTCTGTCTGTATGTGTGTGTCTGTCTACGGCACCGTAGCTCTCAAACGGACGGACCGATTTCAATGCGGTTTTTTTTCCATTTGTAAGCCAGTTGCCTTGCAGTGGTTATTGGCTATGTTTGGTTAATATCGGTACAGCAGTGTAAGAGTATCATCTCTTTTCCAAAATGATGTAAGGCATTTTGGCGTATGAATACTCGATTAAGTGCTTCACGCGTGCCAGTGTAATCGTTAAATGACAATTTGTGTAAGGGTTTTTTTTTAATTTTTAATTTAGAATGTAATCATGTCTGGCTGGCTTTTGGTGTGGCTGTCGGTGTGCGCGCGCATCGTAAAAATTTACTCTCATATTTTTTTCCAAACGTGCCAAAAGAAGGTATAACTACAATAAATAAGGATGATACGATCTTCTTGTAATCTACAGTCTACACACTAAATACCTGTACCTGCCGAAAATAATCTTTTCTATAATAAAATATTGCTCTTATAAATAAAAATGTCAATGCAACGAACCTATTTTAAATTTAATAATAAAATATATTTCAACAGATATTTTAAAGCAATTTTCTTTAAGGTCAAAAATGGACTTGAAGGAAATATTTGCAATTTTTATTTATTTAAATTGTGCTTAATAAAGAGGTGGTGTTTTAATCTGATTAACTAGCTATTTCCGCCGTTTAATTGAAATTTAATTGCAATCGTAACGCCCTATTGCTTGAAGTGGGTAGTATAGAAAATTTATATGGATACAATGAAACACCTGTTAAGTGATTGCTTTTTGTATATATTTTTAGCAGTGACATGAATAAACATTATGAATATACTTACAAGATCTTTACTAATCGCTATGTGATAAATTTTATAAAAAAAAAAAAACAATTTGTTTGATGTAATAAACTATAAGCAACACATGGACGACCGAGCTTCGCTGGCGTTTTCGGTACAGATATAATTTTTTCAGAAACGAAATCTATTTAAAAACTTAAAAAGCAAAATCTATACATATAATAAAATTGTAACTAAGCCGAATCTCTACATTAAATATTTTTTAGAAAATCTTATTGAAATAAACATTATTATCGATACAGAGGCCGAATCTATAGTTTTTAGAATTTTTATCTGTCTGTTACTGGCTACTGCATCACAGAAAAATTCCTAGAGAAATTTTCATGAAATTTGGTATGGTAGCTGGGGTCAACATATAGGATACTTTTTACCGGGGGAAAATGTCTCATTTCTGAGAAAAAATACAAAAACTGCAATGTAAGAGTATACTAATCCCTCCACGACCGCGAACATGCCGGCGTTACAGTTAACAATAGATTTCTTAGAAATTTAATTAATTTCATAGAAATTTACCTGCAGGTGTTAAATCTTATAAAAGTTACTCAATTTAATATTTCCTTCATATTTTTATCACAAGCCAATGATAGAACAAATAAGAATTTACAGAAATTTTTGATTAGTAAGTCAAGAAATAAAGCTTACTTAAAAAAAATAACCCTTAAAAAGCAGAATTATAGAACGCTTCAGAAGCACAAACTGTAAGTACATAGTCAGGACTCAGGAAGTTATTGTCTGACATTTCACATTTGTTATATTTTCATCGATACTGCCGAAGGCTTTTTGCAGACAATGTTAATTAAATGTTTTATTTATTGTAGCCGTACAATTGCTTGTACATTCTTAAAATGCCCATTTGATAGTATCTAATTACGAGTGGTGTTGAATCTATTATAGAAATACTCAGGTGCTGATAATGCAGTTATGTTTTTAACAAATACTTGCTTACGTTTTTATATTATTATTGTATTAATTTTCTTCCACACTTATTAAGTTTTACATAATATATGGGATAATCTACAATACTTACATATTGTAAGATGTGTTTGTCCACCTGTTTAGAACCTACTCGCGTAGGGTATATGTAGTTAACGGAGGCTGTGCTTGTTCCTACTGGAATGCGACACCTGTGACCACAAAACAATGTGCAAACACACCGCACACGTGTTTGTTGAACAAAAATAACTTTGTTCCAACACACAAAACTTAAGAACAATCCGTTTAAAAGTTTGTAAAAGCGCGAATTTTATCGGAAAAAGTACGCGGGGCGAGACGAAAGTAAAGCAAATCAAAGACAACCGGTATCGAAGAGAACGGCGACTGAACTCGAACTGACGTCACAACAAATGCGCGTGGTTCTGAGTGGAAAGGCGGGTGCGAGCGAGATAGCAAGTTGCGATACTAGCGCTACTACACCTGTAGAGCAATGTTGGGGGAAGAAAGTTGGAGTGAGATAGCATGATACTATCTAGCACTAAGTTCACCTGTAGTATTAAATTATTCTATGAAGTGCAAGTGAGATAGAATGATACGATACTAGCGCTGCCACCTGTGGTGGTGTAAATCCGCAACTTGCCAAAAGCCATGCTATCCAACTACCAAGTAAGAAAGTTGACTGAACTGGTCTAACGGGAAGAACTATTGATAAGAAATTATTTATCATTTACACTATTTTTAATTGAAAATTTGAATTCATAACTATGACAACTTAGTTTCAAAGTAACTATGGCAACTTTTACTATAACTTATTTGAAGAGTTTTGTATGAATATTTTTTTCTTATAATCACGTGTTAAGCTTCATAAGACACACATCATAACATTTTACTGCTGTGACTGAAGAAATTTAAATAATGTGCTTTCCTGATCTTTTTTATTATAAATATATACTAGCTTTTTCTCGAAAAATTCTATATCTTCACGAGAGAAATAGTAGACTGTTATTGTCGCTTTAATCTTCTATCAATCCGGGAGTCTCATTAAATTAAGCTCAGCCTTTCTGTAGACTGGCAACAAACATACACCTGTAAGCGGATATTTTCTAATAGTTGCATGAATTTGGATTTGTTAATTACAAAAGATACTATGCAAAATATTGAGGAAGTTATACTGGTAATAAAATTTGTAGCCTCGTACTAATCGAGTAAGATGGAGGAAACGTAATTACGTCTTCATGCATTTTACGCCGCGTATTATTATCATATTAATACGGGTTTTAGTGCTTATAAAGTTGGAAATATAACTACAAAAAATATTTTTTTTACTAATTGCACATTAGGCAGGTACTCTAGATTACAGCCCCTGAACAATGCGGGCAAAGTACATGAATTGTATTATAAGTTAATTGTGAGTTCTGACGGGAACCACTGTCTTCTGCGAGCTTCATCTATCTTACTCTATTAGTCTATGTCTTACAGGAATGAAATAAAACAAGAGGTAGAATTAAATATATTTATTTATATAATTACGTGCCAGCGTGAGTAAAACTTTATTGTGTTATATTGCTTTAGTCAATAATAGTAGATGAAAACTTATCATTTTATAGAAACCCTTGCGAACCTACTTTTAAATTAGTGTATGGCACAGACTATGGTACAAAATGTACAGGAGTATACACTATTAGTATTTATAATTATTCTAATATCACTTCACCAATGATAAAGATGATGATGCAAATGCGTTGCGAGGATAGACGTCAAGACCAACTCTTCAAATATTCCTTGAAAAGAAACAGACAGAAGAAATAGTTTAGTATGAATGTTATAAAGATTAGAAAATTAAGCGTTTTTATAAAAAAAAATGTCATTGACAAAAAGAGCCGACATCCGTCCAATTTTACATAAATTCAAATTTAATAACGACTTCGTATATAGCGTCTTTCGACCCCGTAGGTAAGTACCAACACATATATAATTGAGATGCCCATTTAAATACTAAATGTTCCTTAACAATTCTCTTATTATTTTAAGATTTTTTTATTTCCATTTTATATATAAGTATTAATAAATTCACACTGAAGGCACTTTTTTACACAGTAAGTATCAGTTCGTCAATCATTGTTCATTGTATAATAAAGAAAAACAAGTTACTTTTTAATTTCCCAAACGCTAAACAGTTTGAATGTTGTTACCAAATTAAAATAGTGATGTAAGAATTGTATAACAATCCAACAAACTTACGTAAGGATTTAGAAGCCCTATCGTACATCGGTGCTAGATATTCATCTGAAGCTTCTAAAAATTGATACATCGCTTTAAAGCCGGTCCCATCTAGGCGATCGTTGGACCGAAATGTCACTTTGAAGAAATTTCTCTCCGATTCCACGTGAAATTCTTTCATTCGACCGCAATACCTCCCATACCTACTGTCTTCAGTCATGTAGTTGGAAAATTCTACGTAATCACTTGCGGAGACGGCTTCACATCTAAAACAAAAATAAAACTCTATAATATGCATTATGTAATAAGACTTGAGGAAAGTAATTTCACAAAAATATTAAAAGTTTTGTGATTTTATAACGAGTAGAAAATACTTAATAATAAATTAATAAAATTGCATAATAGTTTATATACATATGTGTATCTATATTATAAAATTTTATATACTTATAAACCGACTTCATCCAGACACTAAAAATCAAGAAATAGGTAACTAAACAGGGATTTTTATTTAGTATAGATACCTAATAAGCTATTTTCGAAGTCTGTTCAAATTTCATGGTTTTTCCTGATTTTCTCTTAAACGGTATACTCTATGCCAAAGAATATTATGGGACCATCTCGGGACCTACCTTAATACAATACAGTCTTCGAAAAGTAAGTAAAAATACATGAAAAAACCATTACATATCTAGGTTTCTTTCTTAGGTTCTACGTTCGTCTATAGACGAACATAGAACCTCCTCTTTTTTGAAAGTCGGTTAAAAATATAGGTATTTGATAGAATTATAATTAATAAAATTTACGATTCTTATTTACTGAAATACTTAAATTATTTTAAAAAACACTAATTATCGTCTTATCATTGTTCCAGTAAAAATGCATAGGTACTTATTACCTCCAGTTTAAATTTGATACTGTGATTATAAAACTGATAAATAAGAATAAAATAAAATATACATAAAAAAATCGCAATTATGTCCTCGTAATAAAAAGTATAAGTCCAATTAGCGCTTACAGATATAGTACATAAAGGTTAATGACATAACTGCACTTTATATCCCATATTATTATTATGGTAGATAAATAGGTAAGACAAGGAAAGTACCAAGTTTTATTTCCAATTAATATTGGATTGTACTGATCTTTAGTGTATGAAGTTATAAACTTAAAATACAGGTAAAGTAGTAATGTACTTATAACAATCTGTAAACTAGACTTGTAACGAATAGTATATTCGGCCATACGCCGAAAACCGAATATTCGGTGGGCTTTCTGGTCGAATAGCTGTATATTAGGCAAAAATGTTTGGTCAGAGCGAAAAAATTGGTGGCAGGAAAACTTGTATAAACGTGTTTGTTTCTTGTTCGGCGCCAGGAAGTAATATTTATTCAAAGCGCCTTTTTTCTGAAGCAGGGATTGTCACTTTTAAATTTTAATTATGATAATGTAAGTGCATAGAAATTTATTTGATCGTTTTTATGGTTAAGTTTTGTAATATAGAACTTGATTATGTACCTATGACTAATAATTATAAGAACAATATATTATTATAAAATAAATCAATATTTTAATTTTACCAATTATCTAATAACAACAAAACATATTACTTGGGCATTCGGTATTCGGTTGAGTAGTATCTAAATATTCGGTATCTGGCCGAATAGGGAAAAGTAGCCGGATAGGCCGAATACCGAATAATAACCGGATATTTGTTGTAAGTCTTCTATAAGCATAATATTATACATATTCTTCTACAAACATTTGCCACGGGATAGATGGAGAAAACAGAAGCAGCAGAATGTGATTTCCTACTCAGATCTTTGCTTTATACCAGTATTTATAAAGTGTGTTAATACTTGTTAGCTACTAATATACTTTATTTTAAGCAAGCCTAGGCAAACGTTTTTTTGATCAATCAATAAAAGCTTTCACGTCCTGAAATGAAATTAATCGTGGACCACGTAGTATTTTCCAGTCACATAAAACCTACTTCACTATTATTGTCTATAATAAAATAACTTACGGTAAAACACCTTCCACATCAAAATGTGTAAAGTGCAAATGAACTTTCTCAGTTTGTCCCCCGTGAAAAAAGTACGAACATTCTGTATCTCGGGGATACGGTCCAGGTGAGTTCGGCGATGCGAACGTACCATTGCGCGCTTCACTACTATTATACACAAATGCGCATGGAAACTCCTTTAACTGTCTTCCTGAAGTTATACCAAAGTCTGAAAGAACATAAAATATACAGGTATAGATAAAAATACATATATGCGGAAAAAATTAACTTTGTAGCCCGTAGGCTGTATACCATTACGCATTAGCGGTAACGGAAGAAAAAACAAAGGCCGGATGTCTATGCTATTTAGCACAAAGATTACTCTCGTTTTGTTTTTTATAGTGTATCAATGTACTAGGTACAACATGTATCAGCAGTTAATTGTTGTTCTTTGATTACATAAATAAAAAATACTTATCACAAATTATGTACATTAGGTATGTATAATGTATAATTGTCAAAATAAATGTACATTTATTTATTGAATAACAACGGTATAGCCGTATAGGCTTATTACGTGTTATTAAAAATTAAAGAGAGGCTATGAACTGCGCAACACGGGCTCGTTAGTCGTTATCCTCTACAGACAATGATTTACAGTAAACGAACTGAACTTTACGACAAATAAAATTACACTCACTAAATATTATTTTGATTCTTGACTGGAGTCGTAAATGGACATGATAGTCTATTAAAATTGCTGTAGAAGATGATGTAGTTTCATTTAAATCATTATTAATTAACATTAGATACTCAGATATAAAATCGTATTAATTTCATGTTATTAGCCGAAGGGTATGCAGTAGGTAGATATAATTATGCCTATTTAATACTCGTCACAACGTCGCATTGTTAACATTCAAAGCCGAGGAATTATTAGTATACTTATTTAAACTTCCATAGTCATTTTAATCGTAAATTATATTGTAAAATCATAAATCATCACAATAAACTCATATGAATTATTATTTTCATCAGTCAATCATTCATAATTTTTAATATCTACTCCGTCTAGATCAGGAATTGAGAAATTGACAAGATAGGTAAATATTTTTAATTATTATAATTATGTAACATGTAACTACCTATACATATAAACATCAAAACTTTGTGTCTGCAATTTATAATACTTGGCACAAATCGCCATATAAATAAAAATACCTACGCCATGGTAGTTACCTAAAAGTAATACCACACGCTTCACTTTGACCAGATGCAGAACAAACTTTGTATTCTGCTTCACTTTATTTACAGCGTAGACACAAATATGCTTAATTAATTTACGTTAATAATTATTGGAACTTCTTAAACAAAATATAATTTTACATACATTTAACATAAAAAGATGTTCATCTTGTGTGTTTAATAAAGCGTAGTCTACATTAAATAAATAAATAAAAATACGAAGCCAAAAAGTAAAATGTTTAGTGAAATTGCTGATTTGCATAATATAATATTATCCTTACTTTCTACGAACGAATATGATATTTTGAATCCTCTTGAGTGCCTTGAGGAGTGAGTGCCCCGGAATTCGAGCATTAGCTTGGGTCCATTCGACATAATTGGCTTAGGAAGGTCAATTCCACAAAATGTTGCAACATTTTCTAGCCGTCCATCAACGTTAACGAATGCTTGAAGCGAGTCCACATTTGTACAGCTGGAATGAGAAAAATAATAAGTTATTATATGAGTATACATATATTCGTAAAAAATCAAAAACAAAAGTAGTTTAAAAAATGTTAGTTATTTATTTTTAAATTAATTGGCAAAAAATATTACCTAGAGGAACCATCTGGAGATTTGTACAAAAAGAAATCTTGAAAAAGTAATCTAATTCTCTCTTTGCCTCTCCCAAAAAATTCATAGTGGCAGTGTGTATTGGGAGGGTAGGCAAGAGGGTAATGCGGTGATGTAAGTGTGCCATGTTTCGCTCCATCACTGTTGAATTCTTGATGACAAGATGAGGCTGAAATTAGAACAACAACATTTTCCTTAAAAATTATAAAAGGCACATAATATGATCTTGTTTATATAAATTATTTGTCAATAATCATATTTTTAAAATAAATATTCAATGATTCTCTAAACGTAGTAGGTAAGTAGTTATTCGCTTGTTACTTACTCTAATATGTAAGTTGTAGCTGTTAAGTAATTGTTATAAATTAATTAATTCAAGTTTAATATTACACTTCTGTAATTTTCTACAAATATAGTAACAATAATTTAATTATATTTTGGCAACAATTTTCGAGCGACTAGCGAATAGCTACTATCATACAAATAAGTACGCATGCGTAAGAGAATCAATATTTTAACGCCATCGTTGGTTTTGTAGTCGTTTTGAAGAAGCTTTAGCTAGTGGTACATAATACACAAAAAATATCTTATCGCAGAAAATAATTAATATCAAGTATTTAGTAGTATCAGTTTATTTACAAAGGACTCCCCTAACTTGTACTTTGTAACTGTGGATAGTTAGTATTTATTACTGAACGGTTGACAAAACGTCTAAATCTATAATTTTGACGTTGCTGTCATGGATGACAAATAAAAGTTGTTGTATACAAAGTACAAACGTCATATACACGACCATTTATTTATTTTCAAGCTGTCGAATATAATCCTCAAATTGTTGGTGAATGATTTAAATATCATGATATAAGTGTATAGAATTATTTTAAATCTACAATAATATTATTTTATTTGCTTCTATAGTTATATTAAAACAGAAACGATGGCAGAGTCAACACCGTTTTTTGTTGATCGAGCTAAAGGCGGCCGAGCTTCTTGTAAAGGTTGTAAAGGTAATTGTCCTAGTGGAGAATTACGTATGGCAAAATTAGTTTTTAGTCCTTACGGCGAAAATCAACAAATGAAATCATGGCATCATATAGACTGTTTAATGAATGTATTGTTAAAACAACGTCCCACAACAAAACGAATAGATTCCATAGACGATATTGGAAACTGGGAAAATATAAGCAAGGAGGATCAAGAATTTATATTAAAGAAGATTAATGAGATGGAAAAGCTTTATGAAGACAAAAATAGTGGAAAATACACAGCAAAGATTATTAAAAATGAATCAGTGCCAAAAGCAAGTACTTCTTCATCAGCTACTGAAAAGAATGAGGAGTTAGACATAGAGACCGAAGATAACAAATTTTCCACTTTTTTTTCCTTATGTAAAAAAATAGCTAAAGTTGATGCTTATACAGAAAAGACAGCAACTGTAAATCATTTTTTTACTAATGGTTGTGATGGAAAAAAGTTCCAAGGAGATATTGGCTTGTGGTGTAAGCTATTGCTACCACAGGTTTCAAAACGAGTTTACAATTTGAAAAGCAAACAGTTAGTAAAACTTTTCTCAAGAATTTTTAATACGGATCATGATGACATGCTCACACACTTAGAGCAAGGTGATGTTGCAGATACTATAACACAATTCTTCAAAAAGTCAAACACATTTAAGCCTGCATCTGAAAGTACATTAACAATGTACAATATTGAAGATTTCCTTGAAGATCTGTCAACATTAACAAAAGAGGAAGAACAGATATACCATTTCAAGAAAATTATAAAAAAATGCACATTGGATGATATAAAAATGTTAATAAGATTAATTAAAGGTGACTTGAGGATTAACGCAGGCCCTAAGCATATTTTGGAAGGTGTACATCCAGATGCTTATTCAGTTTTTCAAGCATCTCGAGACTTAGACTTGGTATTAAAGAGGGTTTTACCTCAAAGTACTGATGTAAAGCATAAAGATGCAATCCAAAAGAATGTAGTAGCAAAATTAAGCCTTATGACCCCAGTTTTACCAATGTTAGCTGAAGCTTGTAAATCAGTTGAAATGGCTATGAAAAAGTGTCCAAATGGCATGTTTTCTGAAATTAAGTATGATGGAGAAAGAGTACAAGTTCATAAAAAGGGTAAGGAGTTCAAATATTTTTCCCGAGCCTTAAAACCTGTTATGGCACATAAAGTTAGTCATTTTAAAGATTACTTGCCTCAAGCATTTCCTAAGGGAGATGATTTAATTCTAGATGCAGAAGTCCTTATGGTAGATGTTAATACTGGGAAACCTTTACCGTTTGGTACATTGGGTATCCATAAGCAATCTGAGTTTAAAGATGCTCAGGTTTGCTTATATGTGTTTGATTGCTTGTACTACAATGGAGAGATTTTAATGGACTATCCCATAAAGAAAAGACGTAATATTCTACGTGAAATTATGGTGGAAGTTACTAACCATGTAATGTTTTCTGAACAAGAAGTTATTCATAAACCAGCTGATCTAGCTAACATGATTGCTAAGGTATATATTTTTACATTAATAACATTAAAATATACTGATAAAATACATTTAAAATAAAATTTATTTGATAAAAAGAAATTAAAAACTCGACTCGTTTATTGTTTAAAATATTTGAATTATCACCTTCTATGTTTGCCAATTACAGGTTTTACAGTTAGGTTTAGAAGGATTGGTATTGAAAGATTTAGAATCTACATATGAGCCCGGTAAAAGACATTGGCTCAAAGTAAAGAAAGACTACTTATTTGATGGAGCAATGGCTGATACAGCAGATCTTGTTGTTTTAGGAGCTTGGTTTGGTTTGTATTTGTTTATATAGGTTTTCTTCTAAGAACTTTTGCAAGCACTTAAGAAAAGCAGACAATGTATCCCCATTAATGTCATAAATGCAAAAGTTTGGATCAATTGATGTTTGTAACTTAATCACATTAGAACGGCTAAACAGATTTGGCACAGAGATTGATTACAGTCTGGAATAGCACATACTTTACTTTTTATCCTGGAAAAATGTATGGTTCCCATAGGAGACATTTGTTTTTGTTTTTCACAAAAAACAAGGCAAAATTAAAGAGCAATGGATCGACTCTATTCCATACTAACTGAGAACTTAAACCGTTAACTTTATATGCATGTATATTACTATCAATATAATTTATGTATTGATGGGCTGTGATATTTGATTCTTATTTTTTAATATAAGTCAAATGGGATAAAGTGAGAAGATTTAATGATACAATATAATACTTTCTTTATTTAAAATAATACATATAGTTTTCACTCATAACAATTTAATATTAATTTCAGGTACGGGTAAAAAAGGTGGTATGATGTCAGTATTTTTAATGGGATGTTTAGATACACGTCGAAATCGTTGGGTCACAGTCACTAAAGTACATACAGGACATGATGATAGTACTTTAGAGAGATTACAAAAAGAATTAGGTCCTTTAATGGTAAAAATATCTCAGGATAATACAAAAGTCCCTTATTGGTTGGATTGCAATAAAGGAATGGTACCGGATTTTGTTGCACTAGACCCTAAGAAACAACCTGTTTGGGAAATCACTGGTTAGTACATATATTTTTATAATTTTTTAAGTTTTTTGTTTTTTATAATAGACAAAAATTAATATATTATATAAGAAATACTATTTGTGTTCGCTAACAAGTTATCTACTAATTTTTATCTAAATTAGGTGTGGGTATGTGTCTTGGCTAAAAAAATAGAAAATAACAAACACTCTATTCCATTTAAAATTCTAATATATATAAAATTAATTACATTAAAAACTATTTAGACTAGAAATATTTTTTTTATAATAAGTACAGTATCATAAAACTATATAACAGATAAAACATTTTTATGTTATAAATTTTATAGTTTTGTTGAAACTTTTGATCTATATAATATGCACAAATAATATATAAAAATCATATATGTTACAGGTACTGAGTTAACCAAGGCAAATTTACATACAGCCGACGGCATATCAGTTAGGTTTCCCAGAGTAACTAGAATCAGGGATGATAAAAATTGGGAAACCGCTACTAATTTAGAAGAATTGAAACATTTATACAAAACATCCAAAGAGAAAACGGATGTGTCACTCCTAAATAAATTAGCTGCAACTGCTAATGATAATTTTGAGTCTCCATTAAAAAAGATCAAACAGAGCCCTAAGAAAAATAAGAATCCCGTTAACCCTATTAAAAATGGCCGCTTAGATTCCTTTATTCTTAAAGATAGACCAAAGAAAGAAGTAAATGAAGAATCTGATGAAGGTGTAAAGAAGGAAGATGTGAAAATTGAGAGCAAAAAAAGAAAAATGACAAGTAGCTTGGAAAATGTAAGTGAAAACATAAGTTTTATTAAAGAAGAGAAAAAGTTCAAATGTCAGTTAGAACCAGACGATCCCCTACCAGATGCGTTTAAAGATAAAAGATTAGGTTTTTATCCAGATTTTATAACTATACCAGAAAACGAAAGGAAATTTTTCGAAAGACACTGGATAGCTTATGGAGGGACTATAATTAAATCGTTGAAATCTATGGATGTGGATTTTGTAGTGCACAATGATAAAACCATAGAGTATAAAAAAATGAAGAAATTAAAAAATAAACTTCCATACCATGTCCGGCATGTTTATAAAAGTTGGTTGAGGAAATGTATTAATAATGTTAAATTATGTGATACTTCTAATTATGCAGTTCTTATAGAACCTAATTAAGTTGTTAAGATGGATTTTAATTTTTAAAGTGAAAACTTCTATATGCAGGTTTGAATGGTGTGTTAATTCATGTGAGTTGTCATCGATATTGTCACGTGACGTGTTAACGCTAACACTCAGAGTGCCGATAGATGTCAAAACAGATATATGTAAACAGTTTTTTTTTGTATTTACAAATACATAATTTAAGATCAAACTTAATTTGAATATCCAAAATTAATAACCGTTTGCTTATAGTTTTAAGTTTTCACTTCTGTCGGCAGTCCTTATGACTGCTTTATATAACTTTTTTTTAATTAGGCGTCCCTCTGTACGCTGACATTAGTAGTATAAAAATTAAAGACATCATTAAGAAATAATTAGCAGACACAATTTCTTCGAAAAAACTTTATTTAAGCTCTGAAAACTCGATATTTTTTTTAATTAACTAAAATTAGATTTATAGTTGCTATGAACTATGAAGTTATAATAATAATGATTTGGATTAATGTTATTTATTTTGTGCGTGTATGCCATATTTTCCAGAATCTCCTTTAGAAATTTCTAGAAAACGATTACTTCCTAACACTAAAATTATATGTCACGGTGTAATTATATGTACAGTATATTGCTTGATAACATTTAAAATGATGATGAAGTTGAAAAATAATAATAATTATTATTGCAACATTTTAATGATTATTATCCAATAAATGTGTTATTTGAATCTTTCTGAATTTTTTTATGCATTTTGACTATGTAAATTTTATTTGTGTGTTTTAATAATACAAAAGTATATGGGATATTTTTATTTAAAATTAATTTTAAATAAAAAATAGCCTTTATTCAGAGTGTACAGAACATATTGTAAATATTATAAATAGTTGATAATTTAAATGTTAGATTACGTATCCGATCTCCGTGTGCCTATTGGCAAAGACCTCCTCTAACTTTCGCTTTAAGATCTATCTACACTCTATAGCCATAATTAATTTACAAAGAACTAAAAGCTTTTTTATAGAATTTACAGATGATCTAAATTTAGATGACAATATATTTTATGTAAAGTATTTTTTAAAGTCTCAACCTATGGACTGACAGACCTCCCTAAGCATTTATAATATTAATATGAAAATAAGGATTTTGCATGATGAAATCTTATAAATATATCATGTCGATATTTCCTATTGTTATATTTTCTGGTTAAAGGATTAAATTAAAAAAAATATATCTAAGGAATTGCCGTATTCTAATCTCAGCAGAAATCGAAAAATCGATAATTAATAAACTATTTTTTTACACGTATACTTTCATATAAATATAAAATCTTGTATATTGTCAATTATATACGAATGTTATAAATGATATGAGAAATATTGTATTGGAACTTTTCTAAAAAGTAAAATAAAATTTGTAATGCTATAACCAGAACTTATAAGTATTTAAATTTTATAAAAAAGTACCTACAATATGTAAAAAGTTAGTGTTTTTGCAATATATGTTTGTTACAATATCATGTTCATCATTTACCTAATACCATCGATTTAGAATTTAATACGATTATGCTAGACCTTGTACTCGAAACGTAAACAATTAGTGAATATCGAGTTAGAAAACCTCGACGTATAATTATTCCACTAGCGACACACCCGCTTCGCTTCGGGTTCGTCCTTAGACAAAAACAAATCTATGGGAACCGTACATTTTCCGGCATGATGTATAAGCCTTACTTAATAAACGGGTTATCTAATGCAAAAAGAATTTTTCAAATCGGATTAGTAGTTCCTGAGGTTAGGGCGTTCCAACAAACAAATTTTGTCTCTTTATAATATTACTAGTGACACACCCTCTTTTTGCTCGGGATCATCCCTAGGTACGTTTTAATTTTTTTGAGCGGAACCCTAATTCTATTTCTAAAATAAATGTATACCCTATGTTACTCCCTATAACATCAGCTATCTTCCAGTGAAAGTCCCGTCAAAATCAGTCCAGCCGTTTCAGAGATTATCCGGAATAAACAGACAGAGACACAAAAATAAAAAAAGTGTTTTCTTATAAGTACTGTATATAATTTCATATGCATTTAGTAAAACGCTGTTATTTTAACATTACAAACACACACTTCAATTTTATATATCTGTATAGATGTAGGTATAGATTCCACTAGCGACTGCACGGGTGCGTCCCTGGTATGCGGATTTTCTTGACAATTTCATTGGTGTTAATTTTTTTGCGCTGTTCCTTAATTCTTTTTTTTTTTTAAAAGTAGCCTAACTAATAAGTATACTCCTTATAACACCAACTATTTGGCAGTGAAAGTTTATATATGTAGCAATATACTCTATGAGTGAAAGTTTCGTCAAAATCGGACAACAGTCGGAACAGACTATAAAAATTTTAAAATTGATGTTTTTCTTATAAGTCCCGTAAGTTTTTTAAAAGTATATCTTTTATATACCTACATTTAGTACCCTTCAATTTTGTTTATTTGTATAGGATAAGAGGCTATTTATATGTGGATTTATTTGGTTGCCATTAAATGGCACTTATTAAATTAGTTTTTTTTTGCCAGAGATCGTTTTTCTAATTGTACTTTTATTTCGTTTTCTGTTAAGTTTTTAAATTTTTTCTTGTTTGCTTTAAGGGATGATAGATGGCGTTGATCACCTAAGCATTCTTTTGTTTTTCTTCAATTAAAGTTTTTAAGACTATATATTAAGTTGTATTTTTTAACTTTTGTTATTATACAAATTTAAAAACAAATCAATACATATTACAATACCATCTATTGACATTTATTACAAATTGCCATGTTTATCTTAATTAATGAATGGTATAGAATAAGTAGGTACCTACTGTTAAAGGACTGAAGTTATTCAGAATATTAATAGGTAATAAGTATGTATTTTGTCTTTTTACTGATGAAAATGCAACTACTTATTACAACATTACATGAATATATCCATAGTATCGCAAAGTTCTGTGTACACGTCGTTTAAAGTTTAAGACGAATATAACGAATGAAACTATTTATTTGTTGTATTTCTTATTAGTTAAGACTTTGTCTTGTAGGTACTTTAAAAATGTATGTTTTAATAACTAAACTTTAAACATAATTAGAACAGGACATCTTGGCAATTTAGTTGAATAAAAACATCTTAGGTAGGTATATACGTAATCGTGAAAATTGGAATAAATGACCAAAATACCTAGATTAAATAGTGTTGAATTATATTTTTGTAAAACTCAAACATTAAGTCGTCTACGAATAATAACTTTACTTCGAGACAATAAAAATGCAAAAACCATTTTCCAACTACCTTTTTTTTTTTCTTTTCGCTGGGGAAACCCATCATGGGGACCCTGCCGCCGTCATGGGCAGGGTACTGTGAGACTCCTACTCACTAAAACCCACAGCGGAACCCTTCGCCGCAGTGCAATGGGGCGTGCAGGATCGCTTTCGCATTCACTGCAACACCCCTGCGATTTAACAACTACCTATGCCTACCTTTAATAAAGTTTTAATAATTAATTAGAAGGTATGGTATGTCTTAGGTACTTATATTATCAAATTATTAAAAAATAATATACCTATTATGATTCGCTTATTCGTATATTTTTAAATATCTAACAAATTGCTGCACTGGGTATTAAAAAGAACATATGTATACAACAAATGCACAACGAATCGCGCTACCTGTAGTAGGTACATTCGCTAACATTGGATTTTATTTTCACTTTGACATTCTCACCCGAAGTAAAATTGAGTGCCGCAGTTTATAAATACTAGAGCTAACTTCAGATTTATAAACCAGAAACTCGAGAAAGTTTTCTAGATGTAAAACATTTCGTCGTCGAGGGAAAAACAAACGGTGCAAATACAGTATAACCACTGGAATCACCTTTAGGCTATATCGTGCTCATTTTAAATTTTCAACGGCTTTCAAACTCGGCAAGGCTATCGCGCCTGTGTGTGGAGCAAATTAATTATTTACAAAGCTGTGTACAGTATAGCTACGATAAGGCAATGGGATGATATGAACAATTTTGGGCAATTTAGAGATCGTGTAAATAAAAGTAATGCTTTTAAAATGATTTTGAGCCATACTTTGCGTGTAAATGATTAGGATTTATTAATTTAATTTTATGTAAAGTATAGAGTTACAAGTAAACATCGGACTTCTATTATATAAGTATATACGATAGTAACGCAAAATAACCAGAAACACAAAGGTTAGACTGATGAGGTGCCTGGTCTTTCCAATTTTTCTTTATTGAGGATTCATGATCGTCGCAAGATTGACGCACTAGTAATGTGGTGTTGGAGATGCATGTTCAGAATCCCATGGACCGCGCACCGAACCAACGTTTCGATCCTAAAAGAACTGAATATCAAAGTGAGGTTACCGTCGTCTGTGCAAATACGAATCCTCAAGTTCTTCGGGCATATCACCTGTCACGAGGACTCCATGGAACGTCTGGTGGTGTAAGGGAAATTCGAGAGTAAAAGATCTGGTGGGCGCTCTCAAACACAGTGGACAGACCTCATAAAATCTATGACACACTCCAGCATAAATGAAAACGCCCGAACCGCCAAACATAGAGATACATGGCGTCGCATCACGAGAGAAGCGGTGGCGCAAGACTCGACCGAGAGATGACCACGACCACTCTGTCAAGAGTGGACGACTAAGAAGAAGAAATGCAATAGTACAAACTTATTCACGCTGAAACGGCTGGACGGATTTAGATGAAATTTAATACACAGATATACCTACTTAATACGTAGGCTACACATTGCGATGCGATTTGACTCGAGCGAAGCGAAAGTAAGTCGCTAGTAGCACTGATCATATAATACTAGGATAGCTAGTAGTATTGAAATTATTTTATGAATCTGTAATTACCTACTTTAATAAAAATGTATGTCTTTGTGGCTTTGTTATTTTTATCGTTCAAATTCAAATGTCAAAGTTATGTAAGTATCTAAATAATAAAATATTAACCCTTTATTACTC